CTGCCATAACGAGCGCTAGGTGTGGAATAGGGCCACATTTAGAGTCACTACTATTCCTGCCTATGAATGTGATTTCCATGAGACTTTCCATTCATTTGCTCCCACGCCATGAAAAGGTGTGTTGTTGAAATGCTGCGCGCGTTTTACAACCCGCAGGGAATCCAAAACAAATAATGTTTTCATTAGTTAAGGGGACACGTGGCAGCGAAAAGCTATGTAGGACCCGCTGGAAAATTTTATGGGACCCACACTTTTCAGGAAACCCCGTCTCCGGAGCCTTTCGGTGGCTACGGTTTTTCCAAGCAGCTCTATTGCGAATCTGTCAAAGACTGATACATAACTTCGCTTAGATGGAAACTTTTAGGCTACCTTGAAAGATCGCTCAATAAATCGCGGGGATCGGCAGTTAATGCACTTATTTGCACTAGGATTAGATCCAGGAACCTTGTTGCATTTCTAAAACTCGTATTCTCGCCGCAACAGCTAGAGGAAGTAGCGCGTCCGGCGCGATCGATTCATCCGATTTCGAAACCTATGCGGCTTCCAACCCGCGAAAGCATGGGTTTCATGTGCACGGTGCCTCTTGCTGGCATGGATCGATAAATTTCTAGACGGGCTCAAAAATTTTGTTCATCTATAGCGTGAACTCTGCCGTGACTGCGATCACTGGCAGGGCTATGACTACACAGTCCGGTGCTGATCCCTGCGAGGACACTTGGGCGCTAACGTAGCTAGAGGGGCGACGCGGCGCTCTATTTGTTTGCGTCTCTGAGGCCTAGTCCTAGGGCCCACTACTGTTTCGTCTGGTGAACGCTTATTTCTATATGGGGAAAGGAGCGGTGGCCCGTTGCATGCTCCCTGAAGGTTCGTGTAGGTTACCAAACGGAATACCAACTGAAACTTACGGTATGAACAAAGAACGTCCGGAAATTCTTTACTTCAGTCCGCATACACGGGGACCATGGAACTTCGCCTTTCAACTCCATACTGTTCGGATCGACATAGAAAAGATGAGGACCCTGAATTTTAACCAAACAATTTCGGCTTTCTTTTCTTTATCTCAAGGAATATAGCAAGAACGATAACCTCCCTTAATCATACCTAATATTCTATTTCTCAATCTGCTTAGATCTAATTTCTTTTTTTCAGACCTTCCTTTCCCCTTGGATGAAATCTGCCTACATGTACGGCTAAATTTAACGGTAGAAATGACAAATAAATAAGCGATGCGGACCATCAAACCAAATAGGAATGCGGTGCTGATCCAGCGTTTCCTAAGGTTGTCAAAAGGCAAGATAATGTCCCACTCGAAGCCAGCGCGAAATTATTTATACCTCCTACGCACTCCAACAAGTTGGGCACGGCTCTATAGAAGGGCGCCAGCGCAACTGGGCGGTGCACCGCCTGCATTCGAAGATGTGCCCCACCTCTTCAAGCGCAGAGGCCAAAGATACCGTTGAGTTCCGTTGTAAAATGTTGAAGGTGCGGTAGTAGAGGTACGCAACAGCAACATCAGTTAAGGTTTTGGGTTACAGTACTACGTCCACACATTAAAACTCGGCCCAAAGCTAATCTGAAAAAAAAACGGGGAAGAGAAACCGAAGAAGATGCGAGTTTGTCCCAAATTTCTGGGGAATGGGCATAGCTTGTCTAGGCGTACAGGGTAAGTACCCCTATAAGGGAAGCTATTTATTCGGTCGTACTAGAATTGGGGAGAGGTGTGAGCGGGCTACAAAGGCGACACGATAACCAGTACCTACCGCTCCTCTGAGTTTGCCTCGTCCCCTATTTCAAAAGTTGTATCATCATTTAAGTCCACTTATACCACTCTTAAATCATACAAACTTTCGGAATTCTAGAGATTGGGGTCACGTACGTAGCTTTGAAAACAGCCTTGATTTGCTTCCAGTTTATGGAAAACCTACCCTTGTCCTTTGTTTATTCAATGTACCTGGCACCAAAAACCTCGCTCCGAAAAAGGCGTTCCTCGGTGGGGGGGACATTCAAAACGGGGCATTCGAAAACCGTTGGTAGGTGACACTAGGACTAAACCAAGATTGGGAATAGACACTAGGGTGGTTGCTCACATCGTCTCCCGAAATTCTTTCTCCTCCCTGAGACTTAGTCCCGAGTCCTACGAATGGCGCACCCACCTCACGTCCCTACCAAAAACATTAGCTTCCCAAAAGTAATCAGCCATTAAATCCTTAATTCTATCTTAGACGAGCGCAATTTTGAATACCTTGTAAAAGTTACACACTTATTAAGCGGTAACGTTGCGCTAGAACTTGCTTTCAAACTTTAACGTTTAACCCATCACATCAGCCCATAGGCGGAGATACAGTAACAATAGTTCAAAAAAAGAGTAGTGCTAGTAGTCAGCACCTCAAGCATCACCCATTAAGTGCCTCACTGCTTCAACGAACCACTTCAGAAAACTGTAGAGGATGGCCGCCCCTGCACAATTATCGATGAAGGCGAGCGTTGCGGGACCACCCAGCATGCCACCCAACACTATTCGAGCGTTGTTTGTTGTTCACAGAAGCTGAATCGTCCTGTCAGTTCCCTCCTTATAATGAATTCACAGACATTGTAAGAAGAAATACACACTACCTGCCTGAGTTCTCTAGTTCGAAAAGAGTCACCAAGCAGGAAATTAGCACGATAATTAGGCCTGGGGAAGGCGAGCATCCAGCAGGGCAATGGGATGCATGGGCGAAACGCGCTCTTGAATCGATTGATTAAAGCCCCACGGAATGCCACACAGTCGCCCAGTGCCCCATCGGACGACCCTTATCTGTTCGAGCCCTGGCAGCGAAAACAAAGAGCAAAGACTTATTCCCAACACTGCTCCTCAACTTCCCCTCTACAATCCCCGGAAAATTCTGATCTGATCCAGGTTTGCACACTTCCCTCTCCCAGCCATAGCATTTGTTGCTCTTGAGCTGGATACTTATACGTTACGAAGAGCACGAAGAGCAAAAGCCAAAAAAATACTCAAGTAATACCTCAGTAAGCAAAAACATCCGCCTCCTGGAGAATAAACCCTTCTTCTTGTCTATGAATCCAGAACGAATGATCAAATTGTCCTGTACGAATCTGGAAATATGTAACTCTTTTTCAAAGTGTCTCGCCGTATCCGGCCACAGGGGATTAAGACAATTGACTTCCAAAAGAAGAGCAGCCTACTCATGGGATGCAAGCGTGCCTTGTACACTTACAAGTGATAGGGGTTTTCCTTTCGTTGTTTCTCCAGCTTTCGCTGCCTCGCTGTCAGAGCTTTTTTGTCAACTTTAGGTAGTTCCACCATGTCACTGAAATAGACAAAAACTTACGTCACTTTTATTTCAACCATTTCTCCTCGATAGGAGTAAAAAAAGCATTTGTGATCCAAGATACTCATGCAGTACAATTGCCGTTAGCTGGGGTGTTGGTCAAGGGCCCCGATTCCAGAGGCTCGCAGGTCCTTCAGAGCCAAATTCGGGGCTTTGCTAACAACTAGTGAATCAACCACCTCCAGGAGCCAGAAAAGCGATTAGACTTGGCTGCGCTTCCTCATTTCGAAATACTTTCACGCCTGTTCTCGCCTTTCGACTTGTGCTATCTCTTCGTCATCGCACAGTCTAGTACAAAATTAGAAGTACGTCCTCCTATAGTGCTTCCGACACTTTCTTCTTCATTTTTCCTCACATGCGGCTCAGATCACCCCTCTACATTCATTTTTGAGTGAAACAAGCTCATCTTGTAATTGAAGCATGTGATTGTGCTTAGTGCCGACTGTAGCATTCTCGTGGATATAAGCAGCAACTCTTGGTTTACGTCCAAGAACATTTGTCGTACGATGTGAATTCAAGAATTTTACAAATGGGTGGTGACATCCTTTTGAATGGTATTTCATAGACAGTGACGACAGCCCATGATTTTCGGGTGAGGAGAAACTTGCCTAGCGCATTCCCACTCGACCACGATCCATATGACTTTGATTGGATACGGCCCTTTTCTATCGCTAAACCATTTCAACGACGCTGCTTTCACCGGCCGTAGTAGGCCATTTGGTAGATATCCGTATTGTCACGTATCGTGCTAATGCGCTTCATAAAAGGATCACACTTACAAAAATAGCAAGGGAATGACCCTTATTCCTACAGGATTTCAACGAACCTCGGGATATCCACCGCAGTGTCCAAGATTTCACTGTCTAGAGATAGCTGCTTACTGAAATAAAACGTCATCGGATATGGAATGGCAAATCAATGGTGAACCACCAGAAAAAAACGTACGCCGGGCCCATCTCCATCAGTGACAAATTCATCAATCGATTGAGAGCTTTTTCGTCGAGACCAGGCTCAGGCATGTTTTCAAGAGACTTCAGCTCAGCCTCCTCTATAAAAAGACACTAGACAGAGAAGGTTCTTCAATCAAAACCTTTCTCTATTAATCAGCACAAATCTCCAACCAGCAAACGGACCTAGTCCTGGTGAAACTGATGACAGCATGTCCGGTGGCTTCATGTTCACGATATTTTCCCAATCGATTCCAGTGAAGAATTCGTGAGACTTGAGCTCTGTCAGATCTCGCGAGCCAAGTCGTACCATCGGATCCAGTACCTATGTAGATAAACTATTGCAGACGCTAATAATTCAATTCCATATTCCTTATTCGATAGATTTACACGTAGAATGAAACCTTTCACGAGGTATTCATATTATACTAAGAATTTTAAGGACAGCAGGAGCTAAGGAAAAGGTATGTCCAGGCAGCACTATCAATTCAATCAGTAAAAATCAGCAAAAAGGAAGAAAAGTGCGAGCTTTCTATTTAAAATAACAATGGTCAATTTTTACAACCTAACATATACCCCCATATACTTTTTAAGTATTCATTCAAAGGGAGATAAGTATAGAGAAGCGAGTGCTCACCAGTAATTTTGAGACGAAATCTTTAGGGATATCAGGGAACTCCGCAGGGAACGAAAAGTCAAGCTTCTGTATCTTATTCATCAGATGGAAGTCGTTCACGGCCCGGAACGGAGCCTGGCCAGAGATCATTTGGAAAACGGTAGCACCGAGTGCCCAATAGTCGCATCTGCAACAAGAAGTAGTATATTGAACTTTCCTAAAATCGAGTAGCACCATTAGAGTAAGGGTATCGATCGCTTTCAAAATTAAAACACATGTAAGCGCTCTTGTAGTTAAGGGGTGAGGGGAGGGGGATATCCGAGTGAGCGAGTCACTTGCAGTACTTGGAACTAAGCCTGAGGGAGGGAAACGAGTTCTGGGGGAGGATGTTGTTAGCGATTTTTCTCTCCCTGGCGGTTCTCCTCTATCCTTGGCTTAACCCTATTGTCACCTACCATGGCCCCTATTTTGAATACCCCTCTTCCCCCCGCCGCCCCCCGCCCCCCAGATCATACGCGCCATTATTCCTTCAGCTGCAGACAAAGTAGCACTTTGTTCTTCATAATTGCGCTCCACTCCCATACTTTGCCATGACTTAAGCGTCTGTGGAAATCTGTTGAAAGTGAAAGGTTCAACCCGAATAGTTAAATGCTGGAAACCATAATCGGTGCACCGGGTATAGCTTATTATAGTACACAACATCAGAAAGAGAATCAAGTTCAACCAAACTCACGGTGGTCCAACTTCGTCCCCTCGCAGCATCTCTGGGCTCACATATTGGGCTGTACCAACGAAGGTGGCTCTACGCGTATGCTCGAAACCTGTAAACTCTTCGACTTTATACGGTTTTATTGTAAATTCGGGAGATACATTAACTTACACCGAACTTACACCGCAATGTCAGATTTGCCCAAAATCACAGGTAAGGATCAAATTTTCTACGGCACAAAAGGAATGTACATACTGGGCTCAGTAAGGAAAGAAGCGGGTTAAATTTAAGAAATTCAAAGATAACATAACGGTTTCAAAAACTGTTCAATCGAATACAAAACCAATAAAATATGCATTCAGATTACGAGGAAAAAACTTTTTTTTGCTCATCCGGTGGAGTCATGAGGTCGTTTACCGATCGTTGAAATTTTGTAAAGGACAAATCGCATTTTCTACTTTGTGGCTCCGAGAAGCCCACACCCCACTCAGGGCTCAGGAACTTGGCCTTTTTGACATTAACCGAAGTACACTTCTTCCCAGCTTTTCAAGAGAATCATCAGCGTGAAAATGGGGTGTTGATATACCCCCAAATATAAGGCTATATGGGCAATTTTTGGTAATAACACATACCAATTCCTAGGCAATAACAAAACAGCATTAAACCATGGAAACATTTGGAAGAAATAGTACTAAACCGGATTGGCTTTCTCAAAAATCACGGACCTTACTTTGTTCCCTTTTGAAGAAGAAAAAGAATGGAGAATTTTTTGGCGCCACGCATTTGCACTAGTAACTAATTACACAGTTGCAAATTGAGAAAACAGAGTTCAGCCTCAAAAATCACCTCTTCAATACCATGGAAACAGGTGTATGGCGATGAGAAGCGGACTTACCGTAGACTAGGCCTATACAATTTAGTCCCCATTTTTACAAGATATGTGAACCACGTGAGTGAATTTTCGAACATGAACGGAGAACTGGCTGATGCCCGCCACCCCTTCGTTACAACGCCAGATCCGTGCCAGCCTATAATACAGGGTGGGGCAAAATTACTGGTGCACTAAATTTTCAATGGCATTTTGACAATAATTCTCACAAATCAATTCTAATTATCAATATTATTTACTACAAACATGACAATACAAAAAATGTTAATGCTTCTCAAAATGATCTCCTTTAGCCTTCACACAGTCCTTCAGACGTTCGACAAATGCTTCGCATGTGGCACGCAGGTACTGGTCATCGATTTCGTCCCAAGATTTTGAAAGCGCCGCCTTAAGAGAGTCCAAGTTTGGATGTCTGGTAGAACACGCTTTGCTCTCCAAGATGGACCACACAGAGTAATCCATCGGGTTTAGATCAGGAGAACTGGAGGGCCATTCGTCGTGTCTGATGAAGTCGGGCAGGTGCTCGGCGCACCACTCCTGGACCATCTTTGCTTTGTGTGCTGGAGCAGAATCCTGCTGGAAGCACCAGTAGGCTTCTCCGAAATGGGAGTTGGCCCACGGCTTGAGAACTTCCTCCAGGATATTTTTGTAAACCTCTGCGTTGATTTTTACACCAGCTTCAACGAAAACAAGTGGGGTCTTCCCCGTAGAGGTGACTCCTCCCCAAACAAGAATGGACTGGGGGTGTTTCGCTCTTTCCTGGAGTCTTGCCTTGGTGGTAGCATCAGCGAGTGATCCTGCAGTAATCCTCTCATTTTGGGAGTTGAAGGCTGGATTCAGAGTATCTTTTCATCACTGAAAACGATGT